CTCGTCTATCACCATCATGGGCCAAATTGAATTAGAAATCAAACTCGGAAACATCAGAACGTACATCACAGCTGATGTGGCCACCAATCTGATCACAGATATTCTTCTCGGAAACGACTGGATAAATTCATAAAATAAAACCTCCTGATCTTCATTATCCCGTATACCTCGTCAATCAGATCACAATTCCCCCATCGTCTCAACAATTCGTCGATGTAAAAGTGCAGCTAAGCAATGGCGAAAATTTAATATTTGAACCGATTCAAAATTCATTTTCACGCCCAATATCTTGCTGAACGTCGTCGATAACACAGTCAAGATTCTCATTATTAATGCTAAAGATCGTCACCAGACGTTATCAAAGCACACCAAGATCGGTATTATAACCAGAGATCCAAAATTTGAAATGTCTCGTAATGAGACAATCAGCCGCTAAACAAGCGACACGAGCCGCTAAACGAAGACACCTCGCGTTCTCAACGGATTTCGATGCTCATCCAGACAGAGAGCCGTCCAAAACACTACGGACGACTCATTACAAAATTTCAATACGGAATGCCATAAACGCCACCAAAAATTTCTTACCGGAAACGATTTACAAAAACATCTTCGAGATTTTAAATATAAAGTATAATACTGCTATGAAAATCATAATAAAATTCTTCTGAATTTATTTAAACACTCGAGCTTTCGATCACAACTTAGATCATTTTCAAGAATGAATGACAAAAGGAAAAGAAGCAGTATATATACAAAAATACATGCAGAGCGAAAGAAGAATTTTGGAAAAATCTAAAATATCAAACAATAACGAAAGAAGAAGAGAGGAAAAACCATAATAACACATTAGAATGCGCGTTCTAATGTTCGTAGAACTGTCTCTCCACGCCAAACCGTCCTTTAACAAAAGGACTAAAGATAGTTCTACATATCAATAAATATTCAATTTGAATTTCACATCATTAATATTCTTCCCACCAGCTGAATGTGTCAGCAGACTTTCTTTGATCGTTCTTCTTTTCCAATTGGTTTCATGTGCAACAGTAATTGCATTGTTAAAATCCATAACGTGTTTCTTTTCATGGACATGCTGAACAATTTTTGAATTTGGTGCGTGCCTGCGCACATCATAACGGTGTTCCTCAATACGAATGTTAATGTCTCTCGATGTTTCTCCAAAATATTTAAAATCACAGTTTGTACAAGGAATAGAATAGAGAATATTCTTCATTTTCTTACTTTCATCTAATCCCTTTTGTATTGGTAAAAATATACTTTTCAATGTCAGCGTTTTTTTATATGCAATTTGCAAATCCACTGTTGGAATCATTTGTTTGCATAGCTTCTTGATTCTTTGTCCCAATACAAACGTTTCTTCTCCAAAATATGGTAATATGAAGAATATATTCCTTAACTTTGATTGTAATTTTATAACTTTTCTATGTTTAGGATTTTCCAATCGTTTTGCAATGACCTTCCCTTCAAGAGTCCCTTTTCGAATAATATGTGATGGATAACCATTATCACCCAATATATCTGTTAGCCGTTTCAATTGTGTTTCAATCAGTTGTGGTGTTGGAACAGATCCGAAGAATGCGTACTGTCAACGTTTTGATAAGACCTAGCTTGTACCTTCGACATTGATTGGATTCATATAATAAATATAACCCGGTATCAGTAGGCTTCTTGTACAACGTTGTGTCCTATCTTCTATCATTGCTGTTTCTCATGATCATAACATGAAGACACGGCAATTGTCTATTATTTTCAACTTCCACAGTAAAGTGAATATTTTGATGCCATTGATTAATGGTGTTTAGAAATGCTTCATAATTCTGTTTTTTGAAAATACACAGAATACATCATCGACATATCTTAAATACAATTGTGGTTTGTTGAACGATAATTTATTTAATTTTTGTTCCAATTTAATCATAAATACGTCGGCCAAGCTAGGAGCTAAACAGCTGCCCATGGCAACACCATCTTTCTGTTTGTATAACTCTGCTTGAAATCTGAAAGGAACATCACATATCGCTAATTTTAATAATTTTCTTCATCTCATCTCTGCAATATGGAGTATCATTGGGTTTAATACCATCAACATAAAACAAGTCTAATGCAGTTTCGATGGCTTCGTACACAGGAATGTTTGTGTATAACGATTCAATGTCAAAACTTACCATAATTTGACCATCCTCATAATCTATATTTTTGATTCTTTCAACTAATTGATCTAATGTGTTATTATGGTTTTTTCCTCTCTTCTTCTTTAGTTATTGTTTGATATTTTAGATTTTTCCAAAATTCTTCTTTCGCTCTGCATGTATTTTTGTATATATACTGCTTCTTTTCCTTTTGTCATTCATTCTTGAAAATGATCTAAGTTGTGATCGAAAGCT